CGGACACGCCTCCCCAGCCCCGCCCCCGGAGCTCAGGGAGCTGCCGACACAGAACTGCTGGTGAGGCGACCAAGTGAGGCCTCTGATGTTGGCTGTTGTGGCCTCGATAGAAATACTGCTACGATGTGAGCGTCTAAAGCGTTATACGCGAAACTCGCGCCCTCACCAACTCATTGTTTTAGGCCGTTTACACCGATATCTGAAACAAAGCTACAGGGTGGGTAGTGCTGTGCACTGTGCCGGATTCTTGCGAGGGGAGGGGTTGGTTGCATAGCCTACTTGAAAAGGGCTGTAAGGCGCCATTTAGAGGAATTTATAGGAAAATCCCAAAAATATCCGGAAGACCAGAATCATTGTGGGAAGACCGAAAAATATCCGGAAGACCGCATTAATCAGGGGAAGACTAAGAAATTCGTCGGAAGACCAGAACAATTCTAGGAAGACCAGAAAAGTTGTGAAAAGACCAGGAAAAAATTGGCAATTGAAAGCCAGGAAGACCAGGGAAGACCAAGGAAGACCAAGATAATATCAAGGAAGTCCAAGAGAATACCCAGATAAACCAAGAGAAAATCGAAGAAAACCTCATGAAGCGTTGAAATCCCTTAGAAAACCAAAGAAAACGCAGGAAGACCGAATAAAACGTAAGAAAACCAAGAAAACCCCTAGATGACTAGGGAAATCCAAGGAAAACTCAGGATAACAGGGAAACCTACATTATGTGTACACCGACCACAGTTGGGCACCCCTCGGCTAAAAACGAGCACGGCACAGATCGTGTTTGTGAAACCAAACTGTTTCTTCGATTTTTCTAGTAGCATCCCGTGCTGGCGATTTTCCCCTGGCGCTGCGCGAGGGCAGGCAAGCCCCCCCCCCCCCTTACTAATTCCTGCCCTGCTGTGATGGCACAAAGGACACGCCGCTGAGCGCGACTGAGCCCCGTGAGCGAGTACCTCGGCGAGCACCATAGCACCCGAAACCGTCCCGTATCAAGAATCAAAGCGGAGGACTCAAGGGGCACGGGACCCGCTGAGAGCCGCTGGGAGAGCGCAGGGGACCAGGGGGTGACTCACGCTGTGCACTTTCATAGTTATACTGCAGCGCATGCAGGAGTGCGTGCAGGTTTGCCTATCCTCACTACCCACGGCTGCTTAGGGCCCCGTGCGAGTAGACAACACTCCTGCATTTTTGTGCACATCTTTACCAGATGCTATATTTCATGGTAGAAATGACGAATTTGCATTTGTCACGGACAAAAAGAAAAGTTGTCCATTATTGCAAGGATGAAAAGTCACTGGTGAGATTCAGAATCGCATCTGGTAAAGATGTACTACACAAAAATTGCGGCTTTCTAGGGGGGGGGGCATCCCTTCAGATTTGGTGTGTATAACGACGCGCGTGCCCTGGTACTACCGCTGCAATGGCCACGCGCGCTGCACACGAATTGGTTGTATTGAAAATTTTGAAATGCGCGCCATCGCTGACGAGACTATTATTATTGGCTGCCTGGAACGTGCGGGCGGGGGGGGGGGGGGGAATAATCAAACAGCTGGAGTTGGTTTTTCACCGTTTAGCGTATAAATAGCCGGCACACGCTACGCTGCTGATGGCCAGGGGCCCGGCCAGACCCATCCCGCGAGCGCGAGTACGGCGGACACACGAGGGTGTACTGTTGCCCGGCCCGGGCCCGCCTGGCCCCTCACGACACGGATCGGGTTTTAGGGTTTTGCGGAATCAGGTTTCTACATCTCGGGTTTCGTCTGCTGTGCCGTGGCATGGCTGTTCCCCTGCTGCTGCTGCTGCTGCTGCTGCTGCTGCTGCTGCTGCTGCTGCTCCTCCTCCTCCTCCTCCTCTCCTACTTCAACTCGCTTCCTCATCTGCTCCGCGCGCGGGCCTCTCCGCCGCGGCCACCGCAGAGTTTAGGGTTTTTTGTGTACTAATATTTTTCCCCCGACAGGCTCCTAATTTAATTTAATCAATAAATGCGCGTTTCGCGCGCTTTGAATCTTGAATCTTGGCCACCGCGGAGATGGCGCCTGGCAAAGGAGCAGCCCCCCTACCGCCCCCGCGTCGTCGACGTCCCCTCGGTACATGCCCTGGGCCTCGCCCTGGGCCTCACCCTGGGCCTCGCCCTGGGCCTCGCCCTGGGCCTCGCCCTGGGCCTCGCCCTGGGCCTCGCCCTGGGCCTCGCCCTGGGCCTCGCCCTGGACCCAAGCTTCGCCCCAACCCTCGTTGGGAACCACTACTGGCGACTGACTCGTTTTTACAGAGATGTTCTGCTTGGCCCTTGCTCAGGACACATCCACCAGCCGCACCAAACTACATAGGATGCGACCCCGGGAAGGGTTGAAAGTTGAGGTTGCCTATCAGGTGGCATGGCGGGAAGTCGAGGAGGGAGGCAGAAACACGAGCTCAACTCCACCCCCTCACTGCTGGACCCGCGCGAGTGGGTGAGGGGGGTATATCAAGTAAATCTAGAGGGGCCCCGTCGGAATCCAGTGTAACAGACAGATTTTGTTTTAAAATATTAGCCGCTGTACGAAACACCTGGGGGGGAGCTTTCCGGGCAAATCGAGGGGAGAGGCACGTGCTTTCTTGTAGAGGGACAGTCTTGGGGACTGCCTAAAAAGCAGTCGTATAAACTACATTTGAAAGTTAGTGGCCTGCAGTCACCTTCACTAACTATGGCGCCGAGCGAGTAGGCAAACCGCCCACAGGCGCGCATTAACTTTGAAAAGTAGGGAGTCGGTGGGAGTGTGGTACCCTGATGGTGGTCCAGTAAATCTTGAGAGAAAAGTCTTAGCTACCCTCCACAGTGCACGGCCCACTAGTTCCAAAGAGCCTTACGAGGTTATATGAGATAATTTCCATCCTAGAGGCCATGGGGCGCTCATGGCTGAAGCGAGTCGAGCCCTATGCAATCCTTCGCCTAATACTGCCGTTTCCCAGCCCTGGTTGTGTACCAGGCGCATGCACGGGCGCGGGTGGGTTTGCCTGCCTATCCTCGCTGCCCGCGTACGTACCTCTCCCCTGCGAGTATAGGCAATGCGCCCACACGCGTGCGTGCGGTACAGTATTTAACAGTGCGCCGGCGTGAGTTGGGCGTGAGTGGCGTGAGTCAGCCACCTGGCGTGTTGACACGACCCTCTCACGTGCTGGCTGAGTGTGTATACACGCTCCACCCTAGCACATGAGGTAGAGCACAGGAACGAACGCCTTACCGCGTGTTGTAACTAAAAGGGGCGGCCATTCTAACAACATGCAAATAAGATTTTGGCCGTGCTGACCAAAACAGTTTTCTTCACACAGTGTGTGGCAAAGACGTACGAACCTTGATCTCCTCGTCGGACGGCTCCTTCTTGATGTGCCTGGTGAGGCACAGCGGGGGCTGCTCCAAGAGCTGCTCCGTGGTGGCGGCGGGGCCGGCGGCCGGCGCGGGCTTTCCCTTCATGGCGGGCCTGAGAGGCGCCTGCCTGCCCTGCCCCACGCGCTGCTCCGCGCTGCTCGCACTATTTATAATGCCACCGCCCCGCTGCTGCTGTTGCTGCGCTCCTCGTCGCTTCTCATCGTCGTCAACGTGAACCTCAACTCCTCTTGGAGTGTCTGCTGCCGCTCTGCTGGTCTCTCGCCGTTTGCTTTGCACCCTGGAGGAATTCCAGGGAAGGGGACACTGAACACTCGCGACACGACACTGGAGAACTGACGCACACGCCGCCGCTGTCCCGTGCAGTGCACCTGCGCGGGAGTGACACGGGAACACCACGTGGAACACAACAACACCGAACTGAGATTGCAGCGGCCGGAGGCGCGCGCGGTCCGGGCGTTAGCCGGGCGTTAGCCGGGCGTCCTGTAGCTGGTCCTCCCCTCTCGCCGGGCGACTCGAGAATGAGGCGGCGCGGCACAGCGACGAACTGCGTTCGAGCTCCCCGCCCGCCCGAACACGAAGAGCCAGCCGAACTGAGCCCGAACCAAAGCGCTCCTCTATTTCTCATAGTATAGCCTCCTCCTGAGTTGCAGTCAATGTCAATAAGAAGCTCCCTTATCGTCTGCTCCATGTTGTTCTGTCGTCGTCTGCCGCGACATTTTCGAATCAGGAAAAAGAAATGTCATCGGTAGCAAGCAGAGTGGACTTTTTAATACTCCTTATTTGATCTGTGCAGTTTTCTGCTTTAAAATAGCTCATAAATACCCTCCAAGCTGCCGAAAGAATGAAGCAGTTAAATGTAAGTAAGCCCCTCTTCCCACAATATTTCCAAATACTTCCCTCGGAATTTAACCTGTCTAATAACTAAAAATAGCTAAATAATTTCCCTTTTATTTAATTTTTTTTTATTACGAAAAAACCAATTGAAAATTATGTTTTGTGGATGGTGGAATAACTGTTTCACTCTAACAATGACGCTTGTTTTGGGAACTCAACATAAAAATTGTTTTTGCCTGTTGGGTTTTTATTTTTGGGAAGGTCTCTTATTGAAACAAAACTTAATATTACAGTTGACCGTGGATTGATAAAGACAGTCCCACTATTGCAAAACAGAAAGAAATCTTTATCATATGTTTCGAGTACCACGCTTATGTTAACTCACCATCTAGTTTTAAAGTGACCTTGCCTGTCTATTTTATTAATTCTTTTAATAATTTTGACAGTCAAAATCCGAGGAGTGTGTATAACTGTAGGACTACCATGAATTTTGAACACTCTTCCAGACACCAGGGTGGCAAAACAGAAACCGAAAAAGGCAAATGGAAAGTCCAATCATAACCGAGGTGTTATGTGGAGGGCCAACCTTACTGAGAATAAAAAGTATTACAGAGCTCCAAAAGCTATACAAAGAGACCTAGCGCATGCTAATTAGTAATAAAAAAACTATCCATCTGATACGTTTAGTGTGTTCTCAGTGCCCATGTTCTTGCACCTGCTTTGCGTAGAAAGTGTTAGGATTCACAGGTGCAGAAAGTTAGAAAAGGGGAAAAATCTTCAACGGCCATTTCACCAGCATCTTTTTAAAAGCCTGTGTCACTGTCATCAAGGTATGAGAATGGAATCTTTACTTTTCTACTTTAGGGTCCTCCAACTGTGTTTTATGAGCCAAACTTCATTAGTGAAGAGGAAGAAAAACGACTCGTTGAGAGTATTTATGCTGCTCCAAAGCCAAAATGGCAACAGCTGTCGCGTCGTCGCCTTCAAAACTGGGGTGGCTTACCACACCCAAAAGGAATGATTGCTGAGTCAATCCCTGATGTGCGTGCTAATCTATCAGATGTTCTTAACTAATGAATCAAGTAAGAAAAATCCATCTAATAAAACCACGTTTTTTGAAATTTCCAGTGGCTAATGAAATATGTGAGCTTATTAAACAATCTACATTTGTTTGGTGACAAAAAGGCCAACCATGTGCTGGTCAATGAATACCTTCCAGGACAGGGTATTATGGTAAATAAAACTTACTGCTTTCCTTTTTTTTCATTTCATTTATGTATTTTTGTACTCATAATTTTTCCTAAGAGCAAATTTTACTTATTTACAGCCTCACACTGATGGACCCTTATTTCACCCTGTCATCACGACAATCAGCCTTGGATCTCACACTGTGCTTAATTTCTATGATAGATTGGACTCTGATGAGGTACTATATCTTACCTACTTTCAACAATTTGCACTTCTCATTTTGCAGATTATGAATTCTGCTAACATTTTAAATTTTGTTTGACACAGGTGGATGCTGAAGATTCCCAACTCTCCTCTGTGAAGCAAAGGCAAAAGAAACTATCTGTTTTACTGGAACCCAGAAGTCTGCTAGTGGTTAAAGATGATCTCTACCACAAGCATTTACATTCCATAGATGAACTGAAGTCTGATGAGATATCAGAGCTAATAGTAAATCCAGGAGATAGACAGCTTGGTGAAGTTATGCACAGACAAACTCGCATATCACTAACAATTAGACATGTCCCAAGAACTAGTAAGGTACCTATATTTCTAAGTAGGAAAAGCTAACCAGATTTGAAAAATTCCTGTTTTGGTAAAGTAGGGTCATAAAATGCAGAATACCATGCAATGAATTTTTTTTTAAATGTTAAAATTCTTATTGGTAAGAAGTTTTACTGAGTCCTGATCACAGACAGGCAGAATTAAATAAGAAATGGTGTACGAACAACATTAAAACCAAATTTTGATGAGAATTTTAATTGGTTAATTACAAACATAAAACTAACTTCCAAGACATGACACCACATAAAATTGTTTTCAAACTAAAACTGAGATCAATTGGTAGATACAGCATGACCACTATCAAAACTGATACAACTAAAAGTAAAAATTAATAAAAGGTACAAAGGTCTTCATTAATTAATGTAAAGGATACTCTTGATTATCTTATCAGAAGTATCTTATAACATGGTCACAGTAATGTTAAGACTTTGGAGAGTCAACAGTCCCTATAGTCCTTTGATTTGAATGATGTGCGCTTGCAGATTTAACAATGTGCATTCATGACGAAGATGAACCTTCTGGAGCAGCAGTATCCATATCATCCAAAGACACATCCATCATTTCATCATCACTTTCATTGAGCAGTGCTTGCAGTTGGTAAACACTTGAAAACATGACGCTGAACTGTTTCCGCCTCATATCTAATTTCTTTTCAAGCTCCTCTTGTGTTGCCTGGAAGAAAAGTTGCATTAAATGTTACAGATATTATAATAACAGCAGTATTAAGATTAGATTTTTACGACATAGGGTTATTGCATACCTGCAAGGCACTTAGGTCTTCATGAAGTTGTTTAAGTTCCTCATTTGTGTTGCGCCTATCCGGCTGTTGATTTATAACCACAGCAAGTAAATCATATTCAATTTTATTCCGTCGGATAGTGCGGGCATTCTTAAGATCCGCCTTGGTTTTCTCAATATTACTTTTGGCAGTGGCAATGTCAACCTCTATTTTCTTTGCCCAGGTCTCATAGTTCTGTAGCTCCTCAGCGCTCATAGTACTTGTTAATCTTGCCTTTGCTAATGCAAAATCACATTGTGCAAGATGCTGCAGCATCCTATCCTGTACTGAACGCCTGTGAGCACACAAGTAGGAAAGCAAAATATTAATAAGACCCACTAGCAATAAAATTACTTTTTACATGCATACAATTGTAGTCACCATTCAGCTTCAGGTTCATCACTTGAGCACCATTTGACAAACGACTTCAGTAATGCATTCAGCCGCCTGTCATCTCCAGTGCCATCACCATCGATTAAGAGGCGACGCCGAATCACCTCTTCTGTAATGTAAGACATGTTGACATTTACAACCGGCTTTCATCTCAGTGTAAAAGTTGTCTCAGGAAGGTTAGGTTCCTGCGGATTAGAATATTATGAAACGTACCGTCATTCATTGCTGTGGGAGCGCTGGCAGCGAATACTTAACTCAGTCCTGGTGTAAGTAAATACGTAATTGAGAAAGGATATACTCGGTATTCGGAACTATACGGCGCTTTTTACTGAATCAGCTAGCAGTAGCAGCCACAGACAGACACGAGCGTGCGAACTGCAAATAGTAGTAACCGTAACCGTGCCAATAACCAGGCTCGGCACCGGCAATACCCCATGCTCGTCTGGAGGTGTAGGATGACAGATGATTTGCCCCCTCCTCCCCTTTCTATTTACCTGGCTAAAACTCTGTTCTTCCCTACTCCCTCACTATTTTTTTAAAATAAAGAATAAAATTTGTCTTTCCCCCCCTTTAAAAAATATATATTTAAAGTAGCCCGGATCTAGTAACCTGAAGGACAGTTTGTGAAGTCTTATATGATGGAAAGGAGAAGAATGACGATGTTTTGGTCTTGTTCTGACTTTTTGTTCATGGTTATATTTTTGTATCTGGCATCATTGTAATAATAAATTACAGGTGATTTGTCGTACTTACTAAGGTCATTGTGGCCTTATGGCCATTATGGTACCTTACTTGTTGCAAAAAAACAAACAAAAAAACACTGACAATTACATTTTCATTTTTAGATCAAAAACTAAGAAAAAAATCACTTATTTTCATTTTCAATACAATAGTTCAATTTTTAATTATTAGCACACAGGTAGTACCAGTGGGGAAAAGTTAGGACAGCTTTAAAAATGAGAAACTGGAGGTCTCTGCTGCAACAGAGATTTTAAAACAGATCTTCTTCTCCCATTCAGTATACTTGAAAATAATATCTCACTGTGATGTATAGCAATTGCCAAGACCTTTGGCACAGCTATAGGTTTTTTTATCTTCATGTGTGATTGATTGCATCTCTTATTCCTTTTCTCAATCAAAAACTTAACTTGGTCCAAATTGAAGAGAAGGAAAGAAACCTTACTAAAGTGAGACTCACCTGCCTCAGAAAAAATATTTGTACAAAATATAGCAGAGACCTCAACATTAAGAGTGTGGAATGAACTTTTTAGTTCATACAATTGATGCATATACCTGCATTTTTTTTTTCACTGCTTGTTTTGTATCTTTTGGCAGTGCAAGGAGTTTCGATAGGAAATAATTTTAAATCGGCATAAAACAACTGATCAAAATAGTGTGACAATACTGAAATGCCAGTTATTGAAAATTAATGAAACAGAGTAGTGTTCAGGGTCTACAGAGAAAGATCGCAAAGCCTAATTCCATCATATTCATTTCACATACATTGATTACCAACATAATACAAAAGCAAACAATTCCTTCCAAAAGCAATGTGCAAATATGATAAGACGTTGGGACTTTCTTTATTTGAAGTTCATAAGTATTTTCAAAGAATTAATCCTGTTGCAGAATATAGCTTAATCAGGTCAGTCTTAGAGGCCAAGAGTTCATTGCATAGTGTTTCACATCAGGCAACATTAATAGATTTCTTCAGTGCTGTTTGCAGGCAAGAAGAAAAGCTTATAACAAAATAATATGATTCAGTCAATGGAGGCCTGCATCTATGCAAAGTCAAGTACTTTTCACCTATATCTCCATCAATGTAGGATTAAAGCCAAATTTACAAATAGACCAACACATTGAGAGTAGGAGAATGAAGTTGATTTTAAATCAAAGAAGAGATCTAAATTGCAAGGTTTTATCACTGCAGTTGCGTTCCTGGCACATGTGGCTTCTGTTACAGTACTTACAGAGTGTAACAAATATTATCTGTGAGTCAAAAATATTTTTCTACAAGGAATGCACTGGATGTTGACACACTGCAATATTTCATGGAAAATTATACTTGCATGAAGACATTGAAGCTTTGCCAAAATAAAACCTCATAACTAAAACCCTGAAATAGCGAGTGGATACTTATTCAAGTACAACAGGGCCCTAAATTTTAAAAGCTCTTGGGATTTTATAAGCATTTCCATAAAGTACTACAGTAAAGCTGACATTAAAATATGCACGTATGAGCTCAAAATAAAATTAACAGAAAATCAAACAATTTCACAAATATGTAGTTCATTACTTCATTAACATCATTATTCCAAGATTCTGATCTTGGCATTTAGTGACAAAAAGTTTACATCATATTTAAACAAATTGTAACAAAAAATAAAGCTACTAAAATATACATTA